GGGGCCAGCCACTTGCAGGGCAGCCCCCTGGGACTGCCACAGGAACAGCAGCCAAGTAGTTTCAGCTGGGGGTCCCTGAGCACTGCAGAGATGCTTTCACATACAGCTGCCTCCTAGGCCCCAGCCAGTTGCTTGCATGGGCGGTTTCTCCAGAGTATGTACCTGTTTGCCTTCTATAAGCAAATGACAGTGGCTCCTCTTGCCTTTGCACCACCTCAGGGCCAGGATGCAGGTGCCAGCTTAGGTCTGGGGTCTCACTTGGGCCTATCAGAGGCACTATAATAAGTAGCTTGCTTAGGAGCAGAAGCTGACTTAGGATGCCCTTGGCAGAGACCGAGGTGATGGGAAGTTTTGATGCTGGTTGCTGCCCCTTGCTGGGATGGCCTGATTCCCTGGTGCTAAGGCAGGCTGCATTCCCTCCCAACCCCGCCTCCCCCTAGACCATATTGGTACATACAACACTGCAGGGCCTGTTCCAGGCATAGCCCAGTCTGAAATTTGCCTTTCGCATGAACAGTAGTGGGGTGAGGACCCTCTGCTGCCATGAAGACCAGACTGTCAACGTTGGCTCAGTAAACTGGTCCCATCAGAAAGCAGGAGTAATGTGTGCTGGGGGTCGTGGGATGCTGTCGGATAGTGAGATATAGTGCTTCTCTTACATCCTGGGAAGTGCCTGCAATGCTGGGGAGGGTGGGGACAGACCCACTTGTCAAATGGTCCCTCCCCACACAATTCTTAGGGAGCTGGAAGAAAGTGAAGCTGCAGGACTGAATTGCACTTGCCTATTGCTAGATGGAAGAGTCTAGTGATGAGTGCAGTTGGGTTGGGCAGCTCTGTGGGTCATTGGGGCAGCTCTTCCAGCCAACCCAAGCGTTTCTCAAGCTGGATGCACACTGCATGGCTGTGGGCAGGGTGGTGGCTCTAGGGCTGGCGACACGGCAGAGGCGACGAGAAGGAGCAGGTTGCTGCTAGGCATTACTAAGGTTCTGCTACCCAGAATGAGGAGCTGGGAAATCCCTTCAGATAAAGGCTGGGCTGCATTCGTAGGAGTGGTGCCTGCAGATCAAGGAAAGTGATTATTCTCTATTGGGCACTGGTGAGCCCACATGTGGAGTACTGTGTCCAATTTTGGGCCTCCCACTGCAGAAAGGATGTGGACAAATTGGACAGAGTCCAGCAGAGGGCAATGAAAATGGTTAGGGGCCTGGGGCACATGTCTTACGAGGAGAGGCTGAGGGAACTGGGCTTATTTAGTCTGGAGAAGAAGATAGAGGGGATTTAATAACAGCCTTCAACTACCTGAAGGGTGGTTTCAAAGAGGATGGAGCTGGACTGTTCTCAGTGGTGGCAGATGACAGAACAAGGAGCAATGGTCTCAAGTTGCAGCAAGGGAAGTTTAAGTTAGATACTAAGAAAAATGTTCTCACTAGGAGGGTGGTAAAGCACTGGAACAGGCTACCCAGAGAGGTTGTGAAATCTCCATCCTTGGAGATGGTTAAGACACTGCTAGACAAAGCCTAGGCTGGGATGATAATTGGGGATGATCCTGCTTTGAACAGCGGGTTGGATGAGATGACCTCCTGAAGTCCCTTCCAACCCTAATTTTCTATGATTCTATGAATATCAGCCCAGAGCTGGCGGAAGTGTTAGGCAATGGCCAAGGCGACCTCCAGTACCATGGGGCATTCCCCAAGTAAGTGCAAGGTGCAGTGAAGGGACCTGGGGCTCTTCTAACAGTGGGGCATAGGAATGGAGGGGACCAGGAGCAAGGCCAAGAACTACCCCTGCTCCCACACCATCTCCCCTGCCCAGTCAGTGGCAGAGCTCAGGCCTCTGCTCAATCCTCCTTTGGGGTCCCCGCACAGTGCCAGCTCTGCACAGCTCACCTCTCAGGCCAAAAGGACAAGGAGCAAGAATGTGCCCTGGCTGGCCTAGGGGGCAGCAGGGAGGAATGCAGTTCTGTCTACCCCGATCTGTCTACCCCTGATCCTTCCCATGCAGCAGCACTGGTCCTACCCGGGGACGTGCACTCCATGGGCACAGGGACTGCTGTCCTGTCAGCGCAGCCTCACAGAAAAACATTTCCGACCAGCACAGGCAGCAGCAGAGAACCCAGCCCTGCAGGAGCCACAGTGGAGGGAACATGCCCAGAGCAGCTACTGGGCAAGGCAGCTGGGGAAGAGGAAGAGAAGCCAGGACACTGCAGGAAGTGGTCACAGAAGAGCCAAGGGATGCCAGGTGTGAGGGACACTGCAGGAAGCATCTGCCAAGGAGGTGGGCGTGATGCCACAACTGGCCAGGAAAAGGAGCCAGCAGAGGTGCTGCGTTATGAGTGGCCTGACAGGGCAGGTGCTAGGGACACAGATGTTAGCTGTGCCAGCAAGGGACCAGAATTGACTGGGGGGTTGGTTGGCCAGCACCTGCCCTGATAACCCAGCATTGCCCTGTACTGACATTAGCCCTGCTCCTTGTTCTCAGGGTGCTCCTTCAGCCAGTGGGTTCAGCTGCCATGTGCCTGGCTGCATGTTAGAAGACTGGTCACGGGCAACCTGCACCTGTGCCTATGCCATCTGGCTCCCTGTGTTAGAAGCAGTGCCAAGTGTGTTCTGCCCTCTCTGGATCCCAGTTCCCCCAACCCCTGGCATCTCAGGTCCCTGCTTTGTTGTCCCCTCCTGCCCTGACCCTGGCTCCCCACACTGCCCGCCCTCCTGGCCTAGTGCAGCCCCTCTCCACACAGACGTACCGCACCACACGCACAGTTACAAAACGATCATGCATTAGAAACTGAAATTCTGCTGGGAGGGCTCCCGGGGGCGCTGAGGCGAGGCTCCCTGCAGGGCGGCTGCCAGGCCCGGCAGTTCGGCCTCACTTTCTTGGACTCTTTGAAAAGAAAGAGTCTGGGCTTGGGAAGTTCTATCCGAAAATGCCACCGAAGGTGGAGGCGATGACAATGCCCAGCACCACGCAGCAGATAATGATCATGATCTTCTTCTGCTCAGGCCCATTCCCGCAGCACCAACAGGGGAGAGAAAGGGAGATGGTATCAGTCAACAGCAGCACACACCCTAACCCTCCCCTGCCAGGGACCCGACTCAGTCTCCACTGGTGATGGGCTCTTTGTTGTCTCCAAGCTCTCCTTGGTCTTTGTTTCTTCTAGTACTGGGTGGTGGGGCTCCACTTCAGAACATGGAGGCCTAGGGCACTTCATGGACGTGAGGCAGAGTCCCTGCTGCCATCTGGAGGCATTGTTTCCCAGGAAAACTCAGCGTGTGCCGAGCGCTGACTCCAACACTCAGTCAGGTCCCCTGGAGCTGACTGACCAACTCCATGGGCTCCAATGAGGGGTCAGATGAAGGCTTGCCCTGCCAAGACACAGCCCAGTCCCCTGCACAGCAGAGCTAAGCCAGGTCCCACTCCTCTCCCTCAACCTGAAGACCTTTGCTCCTGGTTTGGGGCCCAGCATAGGCAAGAGCTGTGATGCCTGGACTATGGCACCAGGGGGAACTCTTCTCCTACACTCCCCACCAGCTCAGCACTAAACAGGCAGGGAAGGGCCACAGGATTCCCAGCCAAGGAGGGTGAAAATATGCATAAAAAAGAAGTGCCAGCTGGCTGGCATTCTGCTCTTCTGCACATGCCCCCTGCTCCTCCCCACCGGAGCAGGCTGACTCCACACACCTTGCAGCCAGCAGCAAGAACACCCCACTGAGATGGCTGCTGGTAGCAGGGACAGGCCACTGGGGTCTACTGGGGACAAGGGGCAGGGTTCATTCCCTGCTGGATGGGACAGTGACTGGCTCACACCTGGAAGCCTGGAGAGCTGGTTCATGCTCCTCAGGATGGCAGGGGGCATTCCCAGCCAGCAGGTGACAGGGTGCAGGGTGCTGCATGCCCATGGCTGAGTCCAGGTGATCACAGTACTCACCCGTCGGGCTTTGCTCTGGTACTTAACAGCTTTTTTGGTATCAGACACAGCCCTCTCCACATAGTCCACGGAGTGCTCGACATTATACTCGATGCGGTCGATCATCTCACCCTGCGTGGCACAGGAGAGAATACGCACACGCATATGCACGCACACACACACATGTATGCACTGGTGTGAGCTCCAGGCACACTCCTCTGGTTGCTCCCATTACCTGCTGCTGTCAGGCTGCAGAACAGGCTGCCTACCCTAGGGTTCTCCTTGGCACCTCACAGACTTCAGTCTGGACACAGGGGCTTCCCATTCCAGCATGGTCACTGCTGCCCCTAGCACAGGAGAGAGACAGAGGCAGAGAGAGAGAGAGAGCCTGAGTGTTCATCCCAGCCCTGCACTCAGAGCACAGAGCTGGGCTAGGGTTTCTCCTGGGAGCAGGCATTCAACCCCAGGACATTTGGGGAAGTAGCCCCCATGGCACACAGGGAGGTTTGCATACCACCCGCAGGTTTCCTTGTGTCCCCAGCACTCTGGACCCTCCAGCTTCTCCTTAATGGCCAGACCAGGGCAGTGTGGAGTTGTCTTGTCCAAGGGAGGTGGCTTGTTTGGGGGAGGGGGAGTGGGGAAGGGAGGGGGTTGCTCTCTGGGACAAGCCTTGGCAGCAGCCAGACTACACTGCCCCACACACTAGTGCACGGAGTGATTGTTTCTGGCTGCACTATTCCTGCTTGGCCTAAACAACAGACAGCCTTGGAAGCTGTTGTTTCCTCCAGCCTGGGACTTGTCTCGTCAGTGTAGGGACCCTTAGGAGCTGTGTCAGGTTACGGCATTGGGGTTTGTCATCAACGACTGAACAGGAGACACTGAAAAGCAGGGACAACTAGTCAAAGCCACCAGACAGCATGGACCCACAACATCAGACCATGACAGGACAATCACAAAGCTACAGGCATGCACAGACAGGGATCCCTGCTGCTGCCCCCAGCACACCACCGGCACGCATCTGCCAGGACTCAGGAGCCAGCTACCCTCTATGGAGGCCTCTGCACCACTGCTGAGTCCCAAGGCAACTCCCCAGGTCAGCCCCCAGGATTAGGGGCAGCAGTTCTGTGTGCCATTCAGACACAAGACTGAGGGGCACTGAGTAGTGTACCACTCCCAATAGCAGCAGTACCAGCCTGGCCCCTGCCTGCATGGCAAGTTTCTGCTCCTGCTCCCTGCGAAGGGTGGTTACCGAGGTAGCATTTGTTGGCCAGGGAACAGCAGGGACACGTGGCAGGTTTCCTTCCTCGCCCTGTCTCTGGCACAGCTGGAGGGGCAGGCTGTGCCCAGGCAGAGCTGTCCGCAGTAGATGCCATCTGGGTCATTGTCTTTCTCTGCAGGATCAGGTGCTGGCCTGTTCGAGAGGCAGGTTCGAGTCCCACAGGGCCTCGTGGTACATTCTAGAGAGCCGTATGCAGCCTGGGGCTCTGGCCCCTCAGCCAGAGGCTGCCAGTGGTGCTGTAATCATGGCTCACCATATCGATGAACACACAGCCACTGACAGGGCTCAGGAGTGAGGCTGCCAGACCAGTAGCCAGCAGAGAAGTCACCATGGTCCCTGCCTAAGTAAACGGCCTCAATATCAGCGTAGCACAGGATCTGCTTGAAGGTGGAAAAAACCAGCATGAAGGAGAGACACTGACTATCTGTGTCCAGACAGGCGCTGAGCTCAGGATGTGCCTGGAGGGGCTGACTGAACCCTATAAGCATTAAACACAGCCTCACCCTCTGCTCTCTCATACAACATCTGGGCCTCCCCAGCCCTTCAGCTGCCCCTCCAGGCATAGGAACATTTTGCTCATACACTCAACCCAAAGGGCCAATGGCTACTCCCTCCACCCACCCATGTCTCTGTCCCAGGCCCCATCTCTCAATGGCTGGACTCTTCCCCACTCCTCAGCTGCCCAAGCGCACCAGTCTGCCCTCAAAGGGTTGGGTGTTTGGAGATCAGATCCTCAAGAGCCGGTGAGATGAGGCAGGGGCCTCTAAGAGCCTGCATTTCTATTCATGACAGGTTGCTGTTACCTCAGGAAGTCACCCAACTTCTCCAGGACTCGTGTTTTCCATCTATGAAGGGGGTTGATGCCTGAGAGCATCAGGTGTCATTCGAGGTGTGTATCGAGCCAGGGCAGCATGCCCCATGCTCCTCTCAGGACATGCAGCAGCAGCAGGTGGAATATGCCACAGGTGGCCCCTGCATGCATAGGCATTTGCACTGCATCTCCTGATGCCGAGAAGCCCTCATGCTGGGATGTAGTGGCTCACTGTATGGTCAGGCAGCACCATGGTGTGATTCATAAATGACCCAGCAAGACAGGCTCACAGGATATGGGAGATCCCAGGGCACTTTGACTGTCTTGGCATTTTGACTGGTTGGTGCCTTCCCCGAAATGCAGTACTGCTGCAGAAGGGCATTACTTTGTTTTATGCTCCAGGTGCGTGGGGCTGTGGCTTTGGCCCTAGCATTGCCTGCAGCCCTTGTGCTTGCCTGGGTGTGTACTGCAACCCAGGGGCCAGTCCTAGTACAGAGTCCCACCAGGCAGGGTACAGCGCTTGGAACTGGCGCAGCAGTTAGAAGGGCAGTGCTACCACCACGTATGGTGCACAGGCAAAGCTGGAAGCAGTGGGAAGCTGGACACCAAGAACACTGAGCGACCAGTTTCCTGGGACTAAGGAGGGGTCACAGCCAGCTAGGGGGCTGCCCATTGCACAGCAGGGAGTACCAGGCTGCTGCTTTCCACAAAATGACGGCTCACACAGGCACTGTCACAGGCCTAACCCTGGACATGAAGCAGTGACAAGAATACCTGCCCCTTGACTGTGCCTGCCCCATGGCCAGATGTGGGTGGGGATGGGCTCTCCCAGTGTGATGAAGCATGAGCCTTATTGTGCTAGTGAGGTTCTGCCCTTCCTGGGTAGGAATCACTCTTCAGCGGTGCAATAGCTGAGCCTGAATGCAGCACTGGGTGCCACGTGCTCACCTGCAGCCCCTGTCCACTCCCTTCAGGATCCAGCCCACTATGCGTGGAGACAAGCCACTTCCAGAACCAGCCAAGCTTCTTTCTTGCTCCCAAAGAGAATGCAGGCTTGGGACTGTGATTTCTGGGAGTTAGGTGTAGCACCCAAGGTCTCAGGCACATGCTCAGCTGAAGCTAATGTCTGCACTGCATGGACTGGGTGCAGCACCTGGGACAGAAACCCTGGGAGTGGGCAGTGGTAGCACCAACAGGAGACAAGCTGAACTAGCCAGCCCCCAAGCAGAGACCTGCCTGAAGTAAGGAAACAACAGGAGGAGTTCGAGCCATTGGTACCACAAAAACACAGAAGGGACACGCTGGAGGGAAGAAGCCTCCCAACTTCCTGAAGGCCCCATCCCACACCTGTGTGGATGCTGCCTCGTGGTGCCAGTACATTGCAGGTGGGGCCTGAGTTGGCTGTGGAGGAACATACATCACTTCTTCCTTCTCATTTCCCCGTGATGTGAGGTTTTTGTACCTGGAGCTGCCTGACTGCACAGGCCGCTGCTCATATCACCTGCCCTGGGGTGACAACCTGCCCACCCTGACACCAAGAGGAAGGCTAGTGCAGAGGTCCCAGGCAACACGCTGGACCTAGCCAGGCATCCCTGTGTGCACCTTATGCATTGCTGCCCTGGGGACTGAAAGCCTTCTGCCCACCAGGTCAGATGTATAGCACACCGCTACTCATAGCTCTTCTTTGTCCTTGGATAGTTTTTGCATGGGACAATCATTCATAGTATGAATATGAGCCAGCTGTGTTGACGCTGTAACCAGCAGGACAAATAACACTCTGGCATGCATCAATTGATGCATCTCCAGCAAAACCAAAGAAGTGATTCTTTTGCTCTACTCAGCATTGGTGAGACCACAGCTGGAGTACTGCGTCCAGTTCTGGGCACCACACTTTAACAAGGATGTGGTAAAGCTTGAGAAAGTCCAACGAAGGGCCACCTGTATGATGAGAGACCTGCATGGCAAGCCATACGAGGAAAGGCTGGGGGACCTGGGACACTTCAGCCTGAAAAAGAGAAGGCTGAGAGGGGACTTGGTAGCAGTTTACTGCTACATCAGAGGAGCACATCAAGGACTCGGTGAACAACTGTTCACCAGGGCACCCTTGGGGAAAACCAGGAGTAATGGCCACAAACTTCTGGAAGACCATTTCAGGCTCAACATGAGGAAAAACTTCTTCACAGTTAGGGTGTTCAGACTGTGGAATAAGTTCCCTCCAGAGGTGGTGCAATCGCCTACACTGGCAATCTTCAAGAGGAGACTGGATGGTCACCTTGCTGGGGTCACCCAAACCCATTTATCTTTCCTGCTTGGTGCAGGGGGCTGGACCTGATGATCTTCTGAGGTCCCTTCCAGCCTTACAATCTATGAAAGCCACAGACATATGCAGGGAGCACAGGCCATGCAGTGAGGCATGCATGTGACTGGCACAGAGTGGGATGCATATTACCTGCTGGCTGGGACACTTCCCTCCAGGATTTGGTGGCAGCATGTCAGGCAAGAACAGGGGTCAGGAAGGGTCATGTGAGCAGGCACAGGCCAGGTCCCAGGGAACTGCCCTCTATGGGCAAGGAAGCCTGCCCCACATGCACAGCGCACTCTGCCTGTGGAGACCTGGCCTGACTCAAGGTAGTCCATACCCAAGGGAGCACAGCATGAGCTCCACAGGAAAGCAAGCTCCAGGACTATCCCAGTGGGGCACAGCCCTTAGTGCATCCAGTGGCTGCTGGAACCAGTCAGGGTCTGAGCAGAAAAAAACAGAGACCCAGTATGGGATGCTCATTTCCCAAAAGTACTGGCAGTGGGTGTCCTGGAGTAGGCAGCCCCTTAATGAGAAGGTCATGTCTCACCCCCACAGCCCTTGGGCTGAGCTTCTTCTCTGGGGCTCCTGCTCTATGCCCTCCCTTCTTAAGGGCCTGCCTTGGAACCACCAGGACAGAAGCTTGTTACTTGCTCCCTCCTTCCACTGCTAGCCAGAAGGTCCCCCTGGGATCCATCAGCACATGGCGACCCTTAGCTCCAAGGTGCAGCACAAGGAGCAGCGGCCAGCAAACCTGTCCTATATTCTGAAAAGTGCCACCTGGACAGCCTGGAAAGGCCACACTCAGTCCTGCTACAAGCAGCTGAGTCTCCACCAGACCAATGGAAGGTGCCTGCTTGCAGCAAGGCTTAACAAGGTGCATGGACATCCTGCTAGGGCTGCGCATGCCAAAGCCAGGTGCGTCTCCTCAACTTCAGTGTTTGGGCATGGGCAGGACCCCAGGGGAGAGGGCCCTATAATAGTCCCCTTACCCCAGACCAGACAGGATTTTGTTCTTTGGTCTGTATTTTCTGCACCAGGTGGGGCTCTTCAAGCTGCCTGTTCAGCCAGAGGCCCTAGGAAGCAGCAGGGAGCTGGACCCCTAAGCAGCATGCGGTGGGCACTACTCTGGACCTCTCACCTGGCTCTCCACGAGCATCGCCATGTCCATGAACATGTCATGCAGCTCCCGGATGCTGTTCTCCAGCTTGATGATCTCACTGTGCCGCGTCTCAATCTCATTGAGTGCCTGCTTTGTGATGTTGGAGTCCATGATGATCTGCAAGGAGAGGGAGACAGGGATCATGCACCTGGCTCTTGGGCCCTACCCCTAGGTAGCCTCCCTGGTTCATGGGCTCACTCTGTAGGGAGCCCTTTGGGTGTGGCTCTGCTGTCAGTGGGTGACACAGGACACTCCCTGTGTGCTGTGAGGGCCTGGCCAGGTCATGCAACTTAGCCAGTTCAGGCCACATTGACTAAAGACATGGGCCTGTGCATGAAGGTTACAGACACCAGAGGTGACAGACACCAAGGTGCTAAAGGACCTGTAGGTAAGCAATAGTGCCCAACTGGCAAGAGGTTGCAATTACAGTGCTTTCCAGCAGAGCATGAGCAGCTGGGGCTGATGGATTGGAGGCTAGCTGTGGTGGCATAGGGCTGGCTACATAAACAAAGCAGTATGGAGTGCCAGAGCAAATAAATCAATAAATCCAAGGCAGGGGAGAGGAGGCTGTGAGGGAGAGTGGGGAGTACAGGCACAGAAGGGTATGCAGGAAACAGATTCTATGCTGTGCCCATTCATTTTAAGTCAACACCACCTGGGCATATATTTTACAGCAGGACAGCTGTTTGGCTATGGAAGAGATGGTGGCCAGGGAACAATCTGACTATAAAAGAGCTTTTAGCTGACTCAGCACTACCCATGATTCATGTAATTGCCCCTACATGGCTAATGTTGACCTATAGCCATGGCAGGGACTTGTGTTCTGTCCCTGCAGTGAGCCTATCTTGTCCCACTGACCTTAACACTGGTTCTCTGGAACAGACTGGACTAACTGGACCTGGGGAACAGAGCTGTCAGCCCCCCACCCCCATTCCCTGACTGCAGACTGAGGCACTGTGGGATAGCTGCCTAGGCTTTCCAGCACAAGCTCTGAGACTAGACTCACAGATGGTTAGTCAGTTTGGTGGGTGCAGACTCATATCCTCCCTCAACACATGGTTGTGCTGTGAAGAAAGCTGCTTTGTGACTACATCCATCGGGGGTCGGGGGGCTGTAATAGGTCCAAGCCTGGCATGTGCTCCTAGCTCAGGTGCAGACGGCAGGGCAGACTCTATCAGGTGGATGGTCTGGGTGTCACTGTACACATGTCTAGTTGTCAGAATCTTCCCCTAAGTTGTCTTAAAAGTCTGAGATTGAAGCTTGGGTTTGAAACACAGCAAAATGCCTGTGCACCTACCCCAGAGGAGAAAATGGCTGGATTCCCGCTCTCCAGCATGTCTTCCAGCTCCTCACTGGTTGTAGTCCTACCAGCTGCAAAGAACATCGAGAGGTCAATCATCAGGAACCAGCTGGGGCTCCCCAAGTGCCCCTTTCCTCAGCTCCATGCAGTTGTGGGCTAGATACAAACACAAAGGGCCAGATGCACCTTGCTTTAGCAGCAAGCCTGCATCCAGTGGTTTCTTGGAGAGGAAAGCAAATGAAAATGTTACTAGTAAGCTCTTCAGAAGACCTCCTCGGCAACTGACTGGCTTTGTGGTATGCCACACAGGGGGCCAAATCCTTTACTTGGAAGGGGGTAAGGAGCATGTGCCCAACAGCTCCAAGATTGTAATCTAGGGTTCAGCTGGTGGGAAGGATCGCTGGAGTGAAGCATTGCTGGAGGTACTCATTCAGACCCAACTTCCCACCAGCTGAACCGTGGCTACAACCCTGGTAGTCCTAGCTTATACTGCCAAGGACCTGGAGTCAGCTGAAGGGCTTGTGTTGGAATAGCCCCACACTCCTTTAGTCAACACCACCGCTGGCTCCTTGGCTGCCAGTTACATCAGAAACGTTCAAAGAGAGCTCACCTTCCATACCACCAACAGGCAGAAAGCTCCCTGGTATAGAGGTTGCACTCAGCCTCTGAGCTCAGTGCCCTGGGTTTCTGGCTGCTTCTAGCAGAAATCTCTTATGCTTAGTGAGTGAATTGCAAAGGCCTGGCTTCCTGGTTCCCCTCAGGCCTGTCCCCTAGGCAGGAGGGGCCAGGGGCTCTAGGACGGGAGCTATCTGATGTGATCTGTGGGCTGCTGGCCTTTCCATTTCATGTGTTTTCCAGGTTCAGGGCCTTCTGTGTCTCCCTGGTGGTGGTGGCGATGTGGAGAGCAGGGCCTGTTTCTGCTGCGAGGGAAAAGCATTTCTCTAGAGGAGGTGGAAAGATGCTATGTTCTTCAGAAAGCAACCTAGTCAAGGGGGTCGGAGCTGAGGACACTGGGACCAGGATGTCTAATGGGGCTGAACTAGTTACTCAGATTTGTCCGCCACCCCTACTTCCCTAATTATATAGGAGCAGGCTGCAGAGGGGCACAGGCCACTTCAACACATCAACACATGCCCCCACTTGCTCACTGGTCACTCTCCCCTGTGGCCCTTCTCTAGAAGCAGAAGAGCAATTATCCTTAATGCATGACTAACCCACCTCCAGGTGCCAGCCTGCTCCTCAAGAGGGGAAGGGGTGGGTGCAGTGAGTCTCCAGAGCTCATCTGCATCAGTGCTTCTCTGGTCCTGATGGAGGGTGTCAGAGAGAGCCAGGCTGGTGCTCTTGGCAAAATTATTTCCAGTTCCATCACAGACCAGGACTAAGCAAAGGCTGGTATTCCCAGGTCCCATTTCTAAGCCTGCATCTCTGACTTTATAACTAGCAATTTTTAGGCACAGAAAAGCTGTTTTAGAATCTTTCAGCTAAGTGTTAAACCAGCTGATTGTCTTCCTCTGAGTTCTGTGCTGCAAAGCACAAGGTAGGCAGTTACAGCCTTGCCTCATGGGGCAGGAGGAACCATTGGGGAGGGATGGCTCACTTTATTGGACATGCTGGAGAGTACAGCACTCACAGAGCCCTCCTGGGCCTTGCCTCTGCCTTGCAAGCACAGGGTGATGTGTCTCTCTCTGCATTGCCTTCAGCCTCTCCTCTCCCCTTCATCTCCCCATGGTGGATGCTGCTGCAATATCTCCCTCCCTCCTTCCCTCCCACCACTTACATCCTTATTTTTCTGTTTCAGCATCTGCCATCTGATTCTCAAGCTCCCACTCACCCCTACCTATTCATATAGATACTCCCACATCATGAAGGCAGTGAGACACATGTACCCTACCCATGGCAGCACAAATCTACCAGCCAAAGCCCAGTAGTAAAGACCGAAGGAGGCTGGTCCAACCAAGGATTGCTGGGCTGGTTGGATTCTACTCTCCCTGGCACAGCTCACAGGCTGCCTCACTTGTAGTCTCTCAAGCAGGTGTCTGATAAATGTGGAGCCTCCTCCTCTAAATACCCCTGGCTGCTGGAGGAAGCTGGAAGAGTCCCTGTCCTCCTGCTTCCAAGCAGTTGGCTCCCTTCTGTGCCTGCCCAGCATCTCAGCCCCTCCAGGCAGGAAGTGGTCAAAGCATTATGTACTGCTGATGCACGATAAAGTGCCATTAGCTCTGCAGTGTGACGAAGTCATCAGCAAAGCTAACGGCACTTTATCGTGCATCAGCAGATGCATGACGAACAGATCCAAGGAGGTGATACTTCCCCTCTATCGGGCGCTGGTCAGACTGCGGTTGGAGTACTGCGTGCAGTTTTGGGCGCCGCATTTCAAGAGGGATGTGGATAACCTGGAGAGGGTCCAGAGAAGGGCCACTCATATGGTTAAAGGCTTGCAGGCCAAGCACTACGAGGAGAGACTAGGGCACCTGGACCTCTTCAGCCTCCGCAAAAGACAGTTGAGAGGTGACTTTGTGGCTGCCTATAAATTCATCATGGGGGTGAATAGGTGAAGCTATCACCTATATGATAGGTGGCTATCACCTATATGATATTCCCTTCATGGGGGTGAAGGGAATAGGTGAGGCTCTACTCACCAAGGCGCCCCTGGGGGTTACAAGAAATAATGGCCATAAACTAGCAGCGAGCAGATTTAGACTGGACATTAGGAAGAACTTCTTCACAGTTCGAGTGGCCAAAGTCTGGAACGGGCTCCCAAGGGAGGTGGTGCTCTCCCCTACCCTGGGGGTCTTCAAGAGGAGGCTAGATAGGCATCTGGCTGGGGTCATCTGAACCCAGCATTCTTTGCTGCCTATGCAGGGGGTCAGACTCGATGATCTATTGAGATCTGACCCAACATCTATGAATCTATGCATCATCTTCATGCTGGACTGTTGCAATTGGTGGCATATGCTCCAAAAGCTTCTTATGAATTTCAGGACCAAGTTCAAAGGCTAGACTCTGATCTACGAGGTTCTTAGCAGCCAGGGAGTTGGTGATCTCAGACACCTCTTCTACATCAAGCCCTGCTAAGTCAGCCCTACTCTACAAGGATATTACTAGGGAGAAAAGCACTGAGGGCAGAGCATTCTCCATAGTAGAAGTACCACGCTCACAGTACGTCACAGATCAAAATGCCCAACCCAATGAGCATCCAAAGATGGTCAAGACATCTCCCCAGGCCAAGCAGCCAATAAAGCTGGCTTGGTTAAGACATACTAGCTTCTGTAGCCAAGGGCACACAAGTGATGGTAGCCACATTGCTCCCATCTGGCCACCTTAGATTCCCCAGCCCAAATGACCAGGTACCACTTACAGTTGGGTTGACAGGGTACAGCCTTTGGTATGGGTCTGCGGCAAGGTTTAAACTTAGGCTCCTGAAGTCATAGCAAGACACCTTAACTTCCTTTGCTGCTGCTCCCAAAATATGCATCCTGACTGGCATGAAAGGGCTTCATCTTCCCTACAGCCTTCCCCAAACAAGTAGGTCAATTCTCAGCCCAGAAAGTAGGAAGAATCATCTCATGGAACTACTGGTCCTTTCACCAGATTGTATTCAGTGCTTGAGTCTACAGCAGAAGGTGCCAAAGAAGACCCTATGGTAGAGATATAACTGACTAAACCAGGCTGCTGATCGGACAAGGGAGACAGCACATGGCACATGCAGCAGAACTCGTGACTTCGATGGCAATCCTTTGCTAGCCAGCATGGAGGTCACTGTTCTATGCCAGGCTCCGGGGTGGAAAAGGAGGCAGGTCTAAACCATGGCTGCTATTTTAAATGAAAAAGAATTGCAGTAAATGAATTATTTCAGAACAAGCTACCTGTGAAGAGCTTGCCACGTGCTGCATTTCAAATGCCTAACTTCAGTCAACTCTCTGCATGAAATGCAATGCAGAGGTTGTAAACACTCCTCCACTTTCCCCCCCACTCCACCACCTCCTCCTGGATTTTGCAGTATCTGCTGCCATACAAACAACCGGTATTACTGTCGTTGATGTATTTCAGCACTGCCTGTTCTACGGGGTCCAGTTCTCAGGTGAGGGGGGAAATTCCCACATGCACACTGCAGGCAAGTGTGGATGTGTATCCTCCTCCTGTGCACTGGCCCTAGGAGGTGCACTGGACAGTCTGCAGACTTGTTTAACCTACGAGGTGTTAAGAGTAAACCTTTCACCTCTTTTTCAGTTTCAATCCCCTGTATTGCCGTATCCTGATTCCAATGCTGGTGAGTGTTTCCGCAGAGATCGAAGTGGGACAGTGGGCTCTGACAGGTTTGGGAATAAACAGATGTCACCAAATGAAGTGCATCAGCTGTGTCAGGATGTATCCTGGCACAGCTAATCCGCTTCATTGGGTGATGTTGTCCTGTTGTCCTGCAGGGTTGGGCCCTTGATGCTCTCAGGAGTGGCCAGGGCTCGATCATGCAAGAAAATCTTCAGGGTTCACCTCGCCAAATTGGGGAACCCCAGGTTTTCCCATTAGCAGAAGAATGCCTACGGGATCCTTGGGCACACCTCTGCAATCAGGGAAGCCTTGGGTTTCCATATTTGGAGAGAAACATGCCCAGGAAATCTGACTTGGGCATGCCTCTGCAAACAGGGGAACCCAGGCAGACACTCCTGGGGCTTCAGGGAGCCACTTGTGGGTGCCCTGGGAACAGGGATTCCTGAGGCATACAAGACTGGGACACTGCAAGCCTGGGAGCACCTGCCTGGGGCAGCTGGAGAATGCAGGTAGCTCGGGGCTGCTCACATTCTCCCACCTTAAAGCAAACAGATATTCACTGCAAAACAGTGGCACAAATTCATACTGGCTACATCACAGACACAAATATTGGACATCTGTGGCACATCAAGGGGCATGGACATCTGTTTGCTTGGCCTTTGTGCTTTCATAAAAAATGTTATGGTGGCACAAAGGCAATGTCTGTTTCTACCCTTAAAAGAAATGCAAAACAATAGTGATCCTGAAAGCAAATGCAAGCACCAGATGACTGGGAAGCTGAAGATGTATAGCAAGCCCTCCT